GATCCACCTTGCCTTTAGTATCCAATCTGTCAATGTCACTCTTCAGTTTTTCAATTCTACTGTCCATCTCCCCAAATTGCTCCTTACCCCACACCTTAAGGATTTTTTTTACATGTTTTAATTTTTCCTTCATTATATAGCTAGCACACCCCTGTATTTCACTTGCTTTCCATGCTGCACTACACACTTTTAAGAAGTCTGGATGCTGTACCCATGCCTCAAAGCAACGAAATGGTTTTGGGCCCCAATCTCGTTTCTCATTCTTTAAAATTATGGGGCAATGATCAGAAATTGACCTCTGCAAACCCCATTGTTTCAGGTTCCCCCAATTCATCAACCATTCTTCAGACACTAAAATCGATCTAATCTGCTCATTGTTAGCCCATTAGGATGATACCAAGTAAACTTTCTACCAATTAAAGGGAAATCAATTAATCCCAACACCTCAATAAAACCGTTGAATTCCCTTCTTTCATTTGTTGCTCTAGTGCCACCTTTTCTTTCCTCATTACATCTTACAGCATTAAAGTCTCCACCGATACACCAATTTCCCCTCATGTTGTTAAGCTGATCTTTTAACTCTACCCACAAAATTCTTTTACTAGCTAAATCACAACCTGAGTAAACATTAACCACATAGCATGGTACTTCATTCACTCCCCAAAACCCGCTGACTCCCATAAAACCAGTCCCATAAAAGATACTATTCAGCTTAAAACTCTCCTTGTTCCAAATACACAGTAGGCCACCAGATTTGCCCTCTGCTGGTTTAAATGCCCACCCAAACTCTTTTAATCCCCAAATAGATTCACATAACCTGTCATCTACACTTTCTGTCTTTATTTCTTGCAACATCAAGAATTCGACCTTCTCTTTTCTAATTAGCTTACACAATTCTTTCCTTTTCCCGCTTTTTCCTAATCCATTAACATTCAAAGATAATAAAATCATTGGTGCTTACCCGAATTCCCATCCATGCTCTTAGCTGCTGGCTTTGCTTGTTTCTTCCTTGTTGTGTCTCGATGCTCCATCTCCTCAAGCCGCATAATCACCTCTGCCTCATTGCCTTTATCAACCGCCCCAATGTCCTTCGAGAAATTCTAGATCTCTATTGCACCTCTATTCTTCTTTATGATACTATTGTAATTGTTTATGTTTGTATCAGTAATCGAATCACCAGCCACTAGACTACCCGCTTCTTTATGTTCCAGCCATCCATAAATTGCTGCACAAGATCTAGCACGTCTTCTTTTCTTCCTTTGCTTTATTCGTTCATGCTGCCTTACCCATTCTTTAATTTGCTTAGAGTCACTCTCTTTTCCTGCATAGAAATCTTCATTCACCGTCCATCGCTGACCTTTTTTCCTATTCCCCTTTTTCATAGTTGCTTCAAGTCGGTTCAATGTTTGATTATTGCTGCCAAGAGTGGTTTCTTTTACTTCAATATTCTGGTTCAAGCCCGGCCTACTAGTCTTTAATCCATTTTCTTTTATTTCAGTATCTTTGGTCTGCATTTCCTGCTCCAACAGTTGTCCAGATCCAATTACCATTTCTCTAATTGGGCTGAATGTATTGAGCCCAACCTCCCCATTATTATTGTAATTTTCCTGGTCCATCTCTTCGTTTGAATCTGCTGCCATCATTTCCTTCTCACCTATTTTCTCATTTAATTGTTTCGATTCTTCCCCTTTTCAGCTACTGCGTCTATCTCACACTTCCCAATTACCTCATCCATAGAGTTCCTGTCTACCTCAATCATCACCGCGTGCTCCCCTGTACTCTGAAAGATATCCTCCTCGGTCTCACCAATAAACAATTACACCTGCCCTTTGCATAGCTTTGGGCCTAAGGCTCCTGACCCCTCCGTTTCTCCAATTTCCTTTCCTGCCACGTCAGCATCTTCCTCCTGGGATTCAAACATTGTTTGATTCTGCAAGTCTTGAATGGGATCATCCATCGGAATATGCTCATCCTCCATATGAGTCCCCAGTGACCATGATTCTTCATCCTCTGTCTCCGGATCCGTTGACATAGTAATCACATGATCAGACTTCATATACAACATGCTGTTTGAGGCCTCCTCCTCTGTAACTTTAATGTCAAACAACTCTCCATTTATCTTGACTGTGATCACCTTTGAAATTGTCTCTCTACTTGAAGTGAAGATTAAGACTCTAGAAATATCAAACCATTTCTTGCAGCTTGTACTATCATCAAGAGATATGAACTTCCCCCAAATGCAACTGATAAACTAGAAAAAGTTCTCATTCCAAGCATGCACCGACACCCCTTGGCATTTCACCCATGCAAATCTTTCCTTTGCAACCATTGTTGGTGACCATGGTCTTACCTCATTGTCCGAGCCAATCTTCAGCTTCATTCACCAAGTCTTTAAGTTCTTCATTATCCTTACACCGTAGCAGAACTAATTTTCCTCCCATTGGTCTAACATGGCACCAAAAATATCCCTCCATAAAGAATTTTTCCTGCAAGGTTGGTATGATTTCAATTGCTCTGGTTGTTCCCACATAACATCCCTCCAGCCAAGCATAATCCTCCTTACCCACATTAAACTCCAACCCATGCCACTCCTCTATTGAGTTTTTGCTTCGAGGTCTCCATATTCTGCTGCCCTGTTGTCCATTGTTACTATTGTTAAAGTTTCTCTGGGTTCCGTATCCCTTCACTGCGTCAGCATAACTTACCACCCCTCTATAAGTATTTCTGGGCTGCTGTTTAGGTGTCTCCCCTCTCTCTTTCGCCTGGCTTTCAATCCTTCCTCCAGCCTCCCATTTAAACTTTGGCAAGTTTACCCATAATTTGGTGTCCCTCACCCTGATTTGATCCAACTTCTTTTCCAACTCATATTTGTTCTGCACATTAAGGAAACAGACAAACTCAAACCTCTTTCTTGACCTCTCTCTTTTTTTCGGGTGGTAGATCTGCAAAACCCGTCCAAACTTGCTGAATGTCTCCCACATCTGCTGATACCCCCAGTCCTCAGGGAAATTGGTGAAAAAATATGGGGTTGACTGGTTATATATTCTTAAGTCATAACCCCCCACTTGCCTTTGCATGCCTCTCCTGTTATCATTCCCTGCGTTGAAAGGCCTCCTGTCGTAGTATGGTCAATCGTGTCCTCGTCGGAATGACAACTCTCTGCCCTGTGCTGACTGCTTTACCCGTGATCTCTGGTGCTCTTTGTCTCGCTCTCTTGGTCTTCCTCTCTCCATTGAATTCCTTCCTGTTTGCTGTCTGACTTCTAACTACTAGCCATTCTTGTAATGTCGTCTGCTTCATTTGGCATCAAAGTGATCATAAACAACTCTAATAAGAAGGATCTACCAGGGAGCATTACAGTTATGAAAATAAAATGCGTAAGAGAATGGTCATTCTCTTTTCTTGTGAATAAACTCAACAATAAGAAGTATCTAATTAAAAAGGAGCATCGTTTCTAGAAATGGATCTTCTTTAATATATAGAGATTATGAATAAAAGCTGAGAGCTTCTTGTTCCATATCTTTCAAGTCGGTCACATCTCTCTAAACTATCCTCGTTTCTTTGAAGGAAGCAATTTCAAATAATGCATCTTGTGCACGTACTTCCACTGCCTTAAAGTGATGATGATCTTTATCAGGGTGGTTGTTGATGAGAAGTATTTTATATATTTTAATTTTTTATTTTAGTCTTAATTTTATCCAAATATGAATAAGTAGAATGTGATTTTTGTTTTAATGAATTTTACATAATTTTCATTATTTGTGCAAAAAGAATTGAAATGAAAAAAAAAAGTTTTGGAACTTAAGTATAAATTTTTTAAACGTTTAGGAACTAAATTGTAAGAAAAAAAATTGAATTTACAGACTAAATTGTGTAGATGTAAAATTTTTACGTCAAAGTGCTAGGAAATATAAAGTTAAAGGACCATATATTCCATCTTAACATTGAAGGAATTGCAAAAATATCCAAAAACTCGACACGGACAGGTTTTGTTGGCATCACCTTCCAAGTACGGTACCCCCTTTCATTGCACCAAACGAAAGAAAATTTTCACCAAAGTGTCCCTACCTGCCCCTTAGCTGTCGACACTCTTGGCAATTTCATCAAAGTTATCATTTTCAACACGATCTATTCTTTTCTACTAAGGTTCTGTTAATCATCAGTGCTAATTGAGGACTGGATTTCTGGGTTTTTTTTTTTTTTTTTTTGAGATCAAAAGAGAGGTAGGCAACAAAAACTCAACATTAAAAGAAAATTTAGGTACTTGAGCTAATTAAATTTTGAGCCTTCATTAAGATCAAAGCAAAAGTGTGGCATGGATTATCTCAAGAGTGCTGGTACAAACCCCATAGAAGCATGCAAGATTCTACTGCCCTGAATTGGTTTCATCTTTTCCTTAAATTAATATTATGTTTTCATGATCTAGCTACTGTCTCAATAAATTAATTTGATCCCGTAAAACTTTTTTATCATTTGAACTATACTTCTATATGTTTTTCTTGAAGATGCTTGGTTGTTTTTCTTCAATATGATGTTGTAATGGGTTTGAAGTACCTTTTTACCCCCTTAATAAAATTTAATTTCTTTGCTGATGAAAAAAATGGTCAGCTTTCTTTACCTTAATTATAATAATCAGATTGGCTACCGTCCTCATTCATCATATATTGTCTAACAAGTTTTTCCGAATTATAATATTATTTAACAGTTGATATATGACCAGAATCACCAACAAGACTTGAACCCTCAAGAAGGCTTGCATCCAATTGGAGGAGTAGAACAGAAAATTAAGGACACACCCCCACATCAGCATGTTACATTTAAGAAAAATATATAATTTTCTTTAGTGTTGACCCAAGACTTAAACATTGAATTTGACTTAACAACACCCCTTTGAGACTCCTTGCTCTTATTATTATTGTTGATAACATTGCAGAACTATATATACACAGTCTGTATCACAGTAAGTACGGTCAAGAAAACAGCAGCAAGAAATGAAATTGACGCCCAAGCAGTGTTAAAATAATTGTGCCTTAGGTTTGCCATTCCGACATTCCGTTTTCTCTTGTAATGATTCCTCAGTTTGATAAAAGTCTCAGAGTAGAAGTTATCATCCAAGAGCACAACAGATTCACCGAGCTTGTTAAATATAGTGGCCACAGCACTGTGATCGCCTAACTAAGTTTCTATAACTCCAGAGTGACTGAGTAATTGAACATCCTTCTTCAAGTTAGTCAAGCAGTCCATGAATGTAACATAATCAGTGACATACCTTGGATATATGTCATTTTGGCACTGCTCATAAGCAATTAAATTATGAAGAATGGAGTCAGTGTTATCTTCCATTCTTATGGTTGGAATCCACAGTACTTCCTTTTCAAACTTTAGGTCAAACATGGTCTCTCCCATTTACTTGCCCACATTCTTGAAGTCAATTCATGCTTCTTCGAGCTCCATTGCAGTGCGTATGAAATTCCATTCGCCATATTCTGTTGAAGTATTGACATAACGATCTATTACATCAGATGAAGGAAGCCAGCAATCATGTACTAGGCCTGGTAGATTCTTGATATTTTTGTTGGAAGATATCGAAGGATGTTGAATTCCAGGGCCTGGCATCATTTCAGAGAAGAAATCAATAGCCAAATGAACGAAGTCACTATCTTGATCACACATCTGGGTCATCTGAAACAACTCCAGCAGTACAAATAAAGGCAGCTGATTTTCAAGCAGTAATAAATCTCGTGTTAAGCTATTCATATTGAAATTTCTACAAACATACTCAATTTCTTGCCTGGACTCTCCTATTTCCCTTCGAATCAGCCCAATAACAAAGCTACCGTCGAGGAACATCATTTCTATAAATGCTTCTTCATCAATATGATCTAGAGGCTTAGTATAGCATTTCCCAGCTTTTTCTTCCATTGCTTTCAAGGCCAGTTCATATCTAGCCACACTATTCTCATTTCTTCGTCGAAGAAGCATTTTTAGATAATGAATTCTGTGCCCTTCCATTGGCTTTAAGTGATCTTTTCCACGGTGATAAGGACCGATTGAGATTATGTAAGGTTCATAGGCCTTTTCATTTGTTTGGCGTAGTTGATTAGGCACTTTGAAAATACTAATCCCAGATGAGTCTATTGAAAATGAGCGTTGAAGCTTTTCGTCTGTTCGGTTGAGAAGAGGCTTCTATAGTTGATCGGCCATCACCTATTTGTAAATTTGGGAAAAGAGTTTATCAACTGTATCTGCAAAAAAATTAGATGAAAAAATACTCTAAAATCAAGTGGTTTTAATAAATTTCTATTAAAAAGATTAAAATATCTTAATTTTTAAAATATAGGTGAAATTGTTTTAATTTTTTTAGTGTTTTATTAAAACAATATAATGTTGAGTTTTTTTTTTTTTTAATTTGTTCACAAATCCAATTGATAAACATTAATGTTTTTAAATCTTGGTAGAATTTGATATATCTTCCATTGCTTCCGAGAACTATATATACAAGTAGTAGGATACAAAGCTTGCACAAAAGTAGAGAAAATCCAGGAAAATCAACAATAAAATATAGAATAAGCAAAACAAGAGAAGAATTCAAATTCAATTTGAACTCAAACTCCAATATACTTGTAAGATGATTCATTTGCAGTTTTTTCTCATAATGAAATCCCATAGATCTTCAAAGTGGATAGAGTAAAGAGCCAATTGCTATCACTATATATCTTATAGGATTTCATGATTATAATGAGATAAGATCTTGGGTGAAACATTTTCTGAAAAAATTACTAGCAAT